TGTGTGTGTGTATGAGAGAGTGTGTGTGTGTGTGAGAGTGTGTGTATGTATGTATGTATGAGAGAGAGTGTGTGTGTGTGTGTGTGAGAGAGTGTGTGTATGTATGTATGAGAGAGAGTGTGTATGTATGTATGAGAGAGAGTGTGTGTGTGTGTGTGAGTGGGTGAGTGAGAGAGAGAGAGAGTGTGTGTGAGTGAGTGTGAGAGAGAGAGAGTGTGTGTGTGAGTGGGTGAGTGAGTGTGAGAGAGAGAGTGAGTGTGTGTGAGTGAGTGGGTGAGTGAGTGTGAGAGAGAGAGTGTGTGGGTGAGTGAGTGTGAGAGAGAGTGTGTGTGTGAGTGGGAGAGAGTGTGTGTGTGAGTGGGTGTGTGAGTGGGAGAGAGAGTGTGTGTGTGAGTGGGTGAGTGAGTGGGTGAGTGAGTGTGAGAGAGAGAGAGAGAGAGTGTGTGTGTGTGTGTGTGTGAGTGTGAGTGGGTGTGAGAGTGTGTGTGTGTGTGTGAGTGTGTGAGAGAGAGTGTGAGAGAGAGTGGGTGAGTGAGTGTGAGAGAGAGAGAGAGAGAGTGTGTGTGTGTGTGTGTGTGAGTGTGAGTGGGTGTGAGAGTGTGTGTGTGTGTGTGAGTGTGTGAGAGAGAGTGTGAGAGAGAGTGGGTGAGTGAGTGTGAGAGAGAGAGAGAGAGAGTGTGTGTGTGTGTGTGTGTGAGTGTGAGTGGGTGTGAGAGTGTGTGTGTGTGTGTGAGTGTGTGAGAGAGAGTGTGAGAGAGAGTGGGTGAGTGAGTGTGAGAGAGAGAGAGAGAGAGTGTGTGTGTGTGTGTGTGTGAGTGTGAGTGGGTGTGAGAGTGTGTGTGTGTGTGTGAGTGTGTGAGAGAGAGTGTGAGAGAGAGTGGGTGAGTGAGTGTGAGAGAGAGAGAGAGAGAGTGTGTGTGTGTGTGTGTGTGAGTGTGAGTGGGTGTGAGAGTGTGTGTGTGTGTGTGAGTGTGTGAGAGAGAGTGTGAGAGAGAGTGGGTGAGTGAGTGTGAGAGAGAGAGAGAGAGAGTGTGTGTGTGTGTGTGTGTGTGTGAGTGTGAGTGGGTGAGTGAGTGTGAGAGAGAGTGTGTGTGTGGGTGTGAGTGTGAGTGGGTGAGTGAGTGGGTGAGTGAGTGTGAGAGAGAGAGAGAGTGTGTGTGTGTGTGTGTGTGAGTGGGTGAGTGAGTGAGTGAGTGTGAGAGAGAGAGAGAGAGTGTGTGTGAGTGAGTGTGTGCAGTGAGTCTCCAGTGTCTCTAACACACTGCAGTTGTTTTTAACTCTCGCCTGTGTGTGTGTGTGTCTCGTCAGGATTTGGCTCTCTGGCCCCCAGCGGTGGCCCCACTGCGCCTGTTAGTTTTGGGGGCTTCGGTTTGGGCCCCGTGGCCCCTGTGCTCAGTTTTGGCAGTAGCCTCAGTGGAGCAGGTAGATGAGTGCGAGAGGTCAAAGGTCATGTCACTCATGATCAGCTCACATCACGCGCTCATTCGTGTGTGTGTTTAGCGTGTCAGTGATGCTCTGGTCATGTGATCAAACCTGCTCTGTCCATCACGCATGTTCAGCATGTCCATCTCTGTTCTGTGTCCACGTCTGTCCT